ACCCAGCAATTGCACTATTAGGTATTTATCCAAGGGATATAGGTATGCTGTTTCAAAGGGACACATGCACCCCCATGTTTATAGCAGCACTATTGACAATAGCCAAAGTATGGAAAGAGCCCAAATGTCCATACACACACACACACACACACACACACACACACACACACACACACACAATGGAGTATTACTCGGCAATCAAAAAGAATGAAATCTTGTCATTTGCAACTACATGGATAGAATTAGAGGGTATTATACTAAGCAAAATTAGTCAGAGAAAGACAAATATCATACGACTTCATTCATATGAGGACTTTAAGACACAGGACAGATGAACATAAGGGAAGGGAAGAAAAATAAAAACAGGGAAGGGGACAAAACACGAGACTCTTAAATATGGAGAACAAACAGAGCGTTACTGGAGGGGTTGGGGGGGGTGGGCTAAATGGGCAAGGGGCCTTAAGGAATCTACTCCTGAAATCATTGTTGCACTATATGCTAACTAATTTGGATGTAAATTAAAAAATAAAATTTAAGAAATAAAATAAAAAATGAAATGAAATAGAGAAAAAAAAAAGACAATATAATGGAAGGCACAGACTCTAAAATCAGCCTAAAGCCAAATCCTGGCTCCACCCTAGTTTTCTGACCTTAAGCAAGTTAATCTTTCTTAGAGTAAGATGTAGATAATTCCAGTACATACCTCACAGGGTTGCTGTGAGGAATAACTAAATTAATACAGACAAGCAATTAGAACGGTGCCTGATATGCACAGTAAGGGTCAAAGATGTTTGTTATTAATATTAATGGATGGTGGTAGAAATACACGTAGTTCCTCTCTATGTAAGCCACAATAAGCATAACATTTCTGCTCTGATGGAACTTATGATTTTGAGAGTACAAGGAACAAAAAAGTCAAGAGCCAAAAGGGGATGGCAAACTACAGTCCACAGGCCTTTAGCTAAGAAGAGTTTTTATACTTTTAAAGAATTGTAGAACTGAAGAAAACGAAACAACGAATATATGAGAGATCAATATGGGTCTGCAAAACTTAAACTATTTACTATCTAGCCCTTAATATAAGAATTTGCCACCGTTTATCTAAATAATGTGGCTAAACGTAATTATATGCAGAAGATAGCATTATGACGGCAGGAGACAAGCTTTTAACTGTAAAAAAAAAAATCTTATGAGCTGGAGGGCTTCTGGAGATCATCAAGAATCCTTTTTGCAAATTAACGTTATTTCGTTTTGGAATCAATTGCATTAAGGCCTCGAACCCTTCTTTTCAACACACAAAAAACTATTATGCAATGTAGAGCTCGTGACTAGAAGTTAGTAGAGCGGCTCTAGTGCTATTTCCACCACCTGTGGCCATGGACGAGCCCGCTGACGCTGATTCACGGGCTTCATCGATAAAGTGGATAAATGACCAGATGATGGCCAGGCCCCTCCTACGTTGGAAAATCCTCTGGAGCCCTGGCTCTCCCAGCAGGATAGAATAATAGCTCTACTCCTCCCACACTGGAGGCCCGAAAGGTCACGTGACCAAGCCCCGGTCCAGGTAGCTGGTGTAAGGTAATCCCAACTCCACGTTCTAAATTTCTATTGCCGCTGACCTGGCTACAGGCAAAACGGATGAAACAAAAACACACAACGCAACATAGCCCAGCGCTTTATGCCGACACACGAGCAAAGAATTCGTTAACTTGCGGTGATAAATTTAAAGACACAGATGACACCGCTACTCAGAGCTACCGACTTCGAGCAAGTCCCAGTTACTGTCCTTATTGCACTGGTCCTGGAGACCCTGTCCGAGGGGCCTCCTTTCGCTCCCTGGAACTCCCCTCCCCGCGAGAAGGGAGGCGGCCGCGGCTACTGATGCAGTAGACGGGAAAGAAAAGGCAGATGTCGCCGCTGGGAAAGACCAGGCGGAAAGCCAAGCGCACGCCTCGACTCACCTTAGCCTCAGTCCTCTCCGGCTCTCGCTGCGGGCAAGCAAGGTTTTAACCCAAGTGCCTGGACTAGACGTGACCAAGGGGCGGGTCCTGCCCAAAAGGACCCCTCACTCCCGCCAGTGAACTCCGCGGGCTGCCCACTGGCCGCCTGTATGGAAAAGCGAGCACTGCGCCTCCTCCTCCATGGGCCTCCTTCCTTCCAGCGGAGAAAGAGTCCTCCCCGCCCTGTTAGCTGGAAGCGAACGGCACGGCAAGGAGCCAGGGCAACTCGACATTGGGGGTTTTAGTCAGGCAGTATGTCGGGCGCCTGGGTGGGGCCAGGCTGAAGGAGAAAAATCCTCCACCCGCAGCCCCCACCTGAGTGCTTTCCACTCGTCCTCTTCAGCTCAAGATGGTGGCCTCCCGGGCGATAGGCAGTCTCCGCCGCTTCACTGCCTCCAGGACGCTTCGCTGCCCAGGTGAGACCTGGGTGGGAGCACCCCGCAGCCCCAGGCAGAACTCTTGGGGAGGCGCGTCTCCCTTTCGCTGTCGCCTTCCAGCCCCGCCTGGGAAACTCTGTCCTGGCTGCAGGGAAAGGATGCCCCTCTTGGACCCCCTTCCTGTGTCCTTGCGCACACTGACACCTCTTCTCTCACTGCTCCCATGCCCTGCAACGATTTCAGGCTCCGTAACCCCTAACGTTTATGAGTCCTGTCTCCCGGGTCTGGCACCTTCCGCAATTCTCGTGGCACTTCTGTGCTCATGCCCATCTTCTTTTCTTTTACGATGGCCTCGGACCTGTCCCTTCTAGATCAGGAGTTCCAGGAGGACTGGGGCAATCCAAATCCGTCACATGTTTGTGGCCCCACCGCACCTTACTCTTAACAAGAGCTGTCTTAAAAGCTTCTTAGGTGGTATTAACCAACTTTGCAAATTACTGCCACTCCCCGCTGCTTTCCCACAAAACCTTTTTTTTTTTTTTTGGTGTGCCTATTACCACATTTCAATAGAGAGCT